ATCACTGTCAACCACTAAGACAACTGTGTGTGAGAGTAGAAGCTTTCTCCTCTTTAATCAGTCTCGTTCCTAGGGAGGGGTGGGAATTGCTAGCTCATAGACATTGGATTATGAAATTGTTGAATGACTCAGACAGAACCTAGGTTTGCTTAGACAGAAAGCCACTGTACAAACAGCTGGGTAATTGAGAACGATGGGAGGAGAAATACAGAAAATACATGCTACACAGAGTTTAGATAAAATATCTTCAGTTTTTTCCAAACAAAATGGAAAATTCCTAGTTATGTAGTGCATTCTAGTCCCTCGGAGGGAGGAGGTAAGAGACAAAAGTCAGCAGCACCTGGAGTTTCTAGCCAGTGAATTCACACTTTCTACTTTTCATGGAGACTTGGGATTTTTGTTACACTTTCAGGAAAGAAACTCTTAAGAAACTCAGGAAAGAAACTCTTTATTCATTCAAGTTCTAACCTTTCACAGGATTTTTCCAAGGGAAGTTCTCACTCTCCTTTTCACTCTATCATATACGCAAAGCATACTTTCTAAACAGGGACTGCTTTGACTCTCTTGTCTACATTCTCTAGCAGATGGTGCAAAGGTTTCTTAAACTGAAACTTCCCTTTGAAAGGTTATGTTTACATAATCCAGTAGATAGGGCACTGGTGTGGAATTCAGGAGATCTGCATTCTACTCCCACTTCTACCACTGACTTACTGTGTGAAGTTCGGGCCAGTCTTTGTTTCCATTTCCCCTCTGCCTCATCTATTTAGACTGTAAACTCTTCAGGCCAGGGACTATCTAACTATGTATGTGTGCTTAGCACAATGCAGGCTTAATCTCAGTTGGAGCTGTTAGATGCTGGTTTCAAACAAATCATATTAAATCTGTAACAGAAAGCCAAGTAGGATAGAGCTGGTGACGGTTCTCTACACTGAATCAGAGAGAAAGATAGTAGTTTTAGGAATATTACAGATTTACCTATTCTAATAATGTTTCGTGTTCAGTATTAGAGGAACACGAGCTCTTTTGGGGATTTTCTACCACTGATCACAGGACATGATGTCAAAAGCAGATTCATTTCAAACCGGCATAAAAAAGAGGGAGGAAAAACAGCCCATGTTCATCAAGGTTTTTGCGCCAACCAGCCCACAGAATAGCCTGAGAGGAAGAAATGCTTCACCAGAGTCTGACCTACAATGAAGCTTAACCCAGATGGGAGTTGTCAAGGTTCCTTCCCCACTCTGAACTCCAGGGTACAGATGTGGGGACCTGCATGAAAAATCCCCTAAGCTTATTTTTACCAGCTTAGGTTAAAACTTCCCCAAGGTACAAACTATTTTACCTTTTGCCTCTGGACTTTATTGCTGCCACCACCAAGCGTCTAACAAATATATAACAGGGAAAGAGCCCACTTGGAAATGTCTTTTCCCCGCAAAATCCTCCCAAACCCTACTCCCCCTTTCCTGGGGAAGGCTTGATAAAAATCCTCACCAATTTCCATAGCTGAACACAGACTGAAACCCTTGGATCTTAAGAACAATGAAAAAGAATCAGGTTCTTAGAAGAAGAATTTTAATTGAAGAAAAAGTAAAAGAATCACCTCTGTAAAATCAGGATGGTAAATACCTTACAGGGTAATCAGATTCAAAACAAAGAGAATCCCTCTAGGCAAAACCTTAAGTTACAAAAAGACACAAAACCAGGAATATACATTCCATTCAGCACAACTTATTTTATCAGCCATTTAAACAAAACAGAATCTAATGCATATCTAACTAGATTGCTTATTAACCCTTTACAGGAGTTCTGATCTGCATTCCTGCTCTGATCCCTGCAAAAGCAATGCACAGACAGAGAGAACCCTTTGTTTCCCCCCCTCCAGCTTTGAAAGTATCTTGTCTCCTCATTGGTCATTTTGGTCAGGTGCCAGTGAGGTTGTCTTAGCTTCTTAACCCTTTACAGGTGAAAGGGTTTTTCCTCTGGCCAGTAGGGATTTAAAGATGTTTACCCTTCCCTTTATATTTGACAGGAGTAAAATAGAGGTCAGCTCATTCATTTATGCAATGAGGAAAGAACCTGAAACTATTTATAAATCATTCTCTTTCATTGAAGAAAGAGATATCATTCCTTAAAAATTGGATGAGCACATCAGTCCAGAAAGTGGACTGTTATGTCACATAATACTCAAACAGGTAGACTTTCATCCAAAAGTGAGAGGACCAGGAAAAGCATTGGAAGCTTTTATAAGTACCAACTATGATCAAGCTGTAAAGAAGGACACACAAGAGATTGTCCAGCATTTAGGATTTTAAACAAGGAACTTCCAGCAAACACACGGCAAATATCTGAGCTAGCTCTGGGACAGTTCTATAGAGAGGGTTGGAAACCCATAACATTTTTGTTCCAGTGGCTTTCAGACTCCAAAACTAGGTACAAGTGTGAGCAATTAGAGACTGTTTGATGAGCATAGGGGTGGGTGAGAGGATCGTGAGATAGTTGTGGGGCCCAGATAACATCCAGTTCATGACTGACCACAAAGCATTCAGACCATTAATAAACACTAAGCACCTAGCCCAGGGGCTACAGTGTCAGAGACCGTGTTGCATTCAGTGAGATATGTAGCTATTGCAGACAACAGCAAGGTCAGTGGGATCGTGTGTGACAGTAGTTGCTGCTCAGTGGGAGTGAGGGGGTCCCAAACTGGGGCGTGTCACTGTGAAAGGGCAGCACGGTGTCTGTGGCTTTTCACTCACCTGAGAACATGCTTTTGATTATTTAATTTTGGATTTTGCCACCCTTTTTGGAATGGTGCAGATGTGACTCTCTCTCCAGTACATCCAGCCTGCAAAATCCATGGCACTGATAAGAACCAGCAGTGTTCTTTTATGATTTATCTCATTCTTGCCACACGATGGTGCTAAAACACCACCAGTAGTTTGGCATTTCCTCTCACGGTGTTGCCTCAGGTTCCATGTTGTGCGTCACGTTGTGTGATAAACCGGCTGCGGAAAGCGATCAAGTCCATGTTTTAAAGAACTTATTCCTGAACCAACTGACATACAGCCTATGTACAAGCTCACTTCGCTTCCTTATGGCCCTTGTGTGTCCACTCTCCACTCAGCCACTCTTTTGTTTAGAAGAAAACTAAAATGTGTAATGCAAAAGGATTCTAATAATTATGCCTAATTACACAGAGTTACAATCGGAAGCAAAGATTGTGGGATTTTTAAGTGTGAAATGTAATTTCCAAAAACTAACATGCAACACCAGACACTGCTTGATGTCAAAGACATCAAGATTATAATGTTTTTTTAATGGCTAAATGCAAAAACTACTATTAAATTAAACCTTTTTGGGGGTCCTATTTTGTATCACCAGACTGGACCTCCTGAGGGAAAGGACATTGGATGGGATTTTATATTCTGTTTTGGGTGCTTTGTGGCACTGAGGTTACAAAACAGGCCTACAGCCAGTTTAACTGGTTACAGGAGGATTTCTACATATGTAGGGTAATCATTGGGTAGCACAGAGCTAAGCAGAGAACATGGCCAAGGAGAAGGGAGTGTGGATGAGGCACCTCTACCACCTCATGATCTTTGGGTGCTAGAACAGTCCCTTGAGCCTACAGGCAGTCGGTGTAGACTAGAGTGCCCTGTTGTATTCATTTGTTATTAATATTGGCCAATAGTGCAAACATAACCCAGTCACTGTCCTGCATTAAACAGTGTTAAACGATATACAGACAAACACCTCATGGCAAACACCTATCAAATTCAGACTAAAGGTTAGAAATGTAGTGATTGAAACAAAAAGAAAATGATCAAGAGGATTGAAACTGAAATTGATTGTTTATGCAAAACAAATGTAATCAAAACCTATTAAAGTACTTTTTTTGAAACAGTGAATATTGTCTCTTTTCAGTCAAACACCCCTTCTTGAGGGGGAAGCAAGGGCTAGCTCTACTGTTCAGTTCTGAATTCAGAGTGATAGTTTCTTTTCTGCCTTAGATGAAACAGGGAGCCACAGAAAGGAGAGAAGAGATAGGATAGTAAAGAAGGGGAAAATACGGCTTTTGTTGATGTTCAAAGGATACTGTTAGAGAGCTTATTCCTTCACTCTCCCACTTCCCTGGTCCTTCTCGCATGAACAGAGAGCAACAATACCCGAAGTTCGAAGGTGCAAACAATTAGATGTTTATTGGGGTGAACTTCCAGCAAGCTAAAATCCAAGTTCCTTTTTCCTTATTTTCGAATCCCAACTTACTTCCTGTTTGTCCCTAATTTATATAGTAATATTCTTAGCTATACCTTAACCAATCATTCTACTGAAATTTAACTAACCAATCCTAACATATTGTAACATGATTAGCTAACCAATTATATCCCACCACAATAATTAGATTACACCCAGCAAAATTAATTATACAGCAGACAGAAACAATCACAGAACCAGACAGAGATTATACAGACAAACAATAGCAAAGGGGAACTATAATGACAAAACAATACAGAAGTGAGGATTTCACATCCCAGCTATTGATAAGTGAGTTCTTGCCAGACAGGATGCTATCAAACTAAGTTTCCTTTTACATTTTCTAGGGACTTCCCTTTCTCTGGAGGTGATAGGAATACAATCCTGTCCTGATAGTGCCTGACAGCCCAATAGCACCTTATTTCAATGTGACTAGTTTGGAATGTGAGGATGTGACTGTTCGCTTCCTAGCTTATGGCTGCCTCTGCTGCTTAGCCAAAGGCCTTAGCCTAAGAACAGGGCCTCAGACTGTCACAGTAAGAGAAGGCCCTTACACTGGCAGACAGTGATTTTGATTCTTTTATACCTCTAACTAGCCAAGTGATAAGAATACACCTAAATTCTTAAAGTACGGGCCTTTACAGACAGGCCTGAATATCTATATCCTAACAGATACAGGGTGGCTGCTTGGTCCTGGATGGATGCTTTGGGCTCCTTGGCGACAACAACTGTTGCTTTTAACCCTGGCTTACCTCCCTGGTCAGGGACATCATCTGGTTGGTCAGGTCCCTCACAGTCACTGGTCCGTCTCACGCTGGGCTGGACAGGCTGTCTCGTCTCACTGGGCAGGTGCTGTGCAGTGCACTTGAGGTCAGGATCATGTGAAAAGCTAAAAGAAAGAGAGAGGTAGGAAAGAAGGACGATGGGGGCAGAAAAGAGCACATGTGGGAGAGGATGCAGTATCACACTGTGGTCCTGGTTGATGCAGCAATGATGGTCAGCCTTCCCCACTCAGGTTTTAGTGTCATGGCAACAATCCTTCCACTGCAGCCGCAGGGATGGTAAAAGTACTTTCTCTCTCCACACACCCCAAATCTTGTTTTAAGGGCCCCATGCAGTCGATGAGTGGAGTATCAATCCTTTCACTGTTTTGTCCACCAGTTAAGCCTAATTTCTGACACTCCAGTTTTAGTTCATTGATTTCTGGTTCTCTGCTTCTCATGTTTACCAGTCATAATCTTAACATAGTCCTTGAGTGGTATCAGTAGACCCTTTCTGTTTAAATGAATTCAGTCTGTCTGTCTCCTTCTCGCATCTTTTCTTAAACAGTCTTCTATAACAGATCATTGTGACAGTTCATAACCCTTTACCTACTTTTCATCAGTTAGGCTAACAATTAATGTAGGCCTGCTGTGCCTCGATTAGTACAACAACCCCCTGTGGCTGCTCTAATTTACCCTGAGTGGCTCATGACTAAATGGCCCTAGAAAATAGATGGGCATAAAGGTGGATTTAAAGCTCAGGATCTGAGCCTATATATGAGTAAAATAGCAGCCACCAATGAGAAACAAGAAAACCATTCACTTATGGAAATATCAAACAGCAACATAACAGTTTATTGAGCTGTTACCCCAGTAAGAAAATATATTTACTGTAGTGAGTATGTCTTAGCATATAAGAAAAGGAGGACTTGTGGCACCTTAGAGACTAACAAATTTATTTGAGCATAAGCTTTCATGAGCTACAGCTCACTTCATCGGATGCATGCAGTGGAAAATACAGTGGGGAGATTTAGATACACAGAGAACATGAAACAATGGGTGTTACCATACACACTGTAACAAGAGTGATCAGGTAAGGTGAGCTATTACCAGCAAGAGAATGGGTGGGAAAAAACCTTTTGTAGAGATAATCAAGGTGGGCCATTTCCAGCAGTTGACAAGAATGTGTGAGGAACAGAGGGGTGGGGCTGGAGGTGGGGGGATAAACATGGGGAAATAGTTTTACTTTGTGTAATGACACATCCACTCCCAGTCTTTAGTCAAGCCTAAGTTAATTGTATCCAGTTTGCAAATTAATTCCAATTCGCAGTCTCTCCTTGGAGTCTGTTTTTGAAGTTTTTTTCTTGAAGAATTGCCACTTTTAGATCTGTAATCGAGTTACCAAAGAGATTGAAGTATTCACTGACTGGTTTTTGAATGTTATAATTCTTGACATCTGATTTGCGTCCATTTATTCTTTTACGTAGAGACTGTCCAGTTTGACCAATGTACATGGCAGAGGGGCATTGCTGGCACATGATGGCATATATCACATTGGTAGATGTGCAGATGAACGAGCCTCTGATAGTGTGGCTGATGTGATTAGGCCCTGTGATGGTGTCCCCTGAATAGATAGGACACAGTTGGCAATGGGTTTTGTTGCAAGGATAGGTTCCTGGGTTAGTGTTTTTGTTGTATGGTGTGTGGTTGCTGGTGAGTATTTGCTTCAGGTTGGGGGCTGTCTGTAAGCAAGGACTGGCCTGTCTCCCAAGATCTGTGAGAGTGATGGGTCGTCCTTCAGGATAGGTTGTAGATCCTTGATAATGCGCTGGAGAGGTTTTAGTTGGGGGCTGAAGGTGATGGCTAGTGGCGTTCTGTTATTTTCTTTGTTGGGCCTGTCCCGTAGTAGGTAACTTCTGGGTATGTCAATCTGTTTCTTCACTTCAGTAGGTGGGTATTGCAGTTGTAAGAACACTTGATAGAGATCTTGGAGGTGTTTGTCTCTGTCTGAGGGGTTGGAGCAAATGCGGTTGTATCGTAGAGCTTGGCTGTAGACAATGGATCATGTGGTGTGGTGTGGTCTGGATGAAAGCTGGAGGCATGTAGGTAGGCATAATGGTCAGTAGGTTTCCGGTATAGGGTGATGTTTATGTGACCATAGATTATTAGCACTGTAGTGTCCAGGAAGTGGATCTCTTGTGTGAACTGGTCCAGGCTGAGGTTGATGGTGGGATGGAAATTGTTGAAATCATGGTGGAATTCCTCAAGGGCTTCTTTTCCATGGGTCCAGATGATGATGATGTCATCAATGTAGCGCAAGTAGAATAGGGGCATTAGGGGACGAGAGCTGAGGAAGTGGTGTTCTAAGTCAGCCATAAAAATGTTGGCATACTGTGGGGCCCATGCGGGTACCCATAGCAGTGCCGCTGATTTGAAGGTATACATTGTCCCCAAATGTGAAATAGTTATGGGTGAGGATAAAGTTTAGCAACCAGGTTTGCCGTGATGTTATCGGGGATACTGTTCCTGATGGCTTGTAGTCCATCTTTGTGTGGAATGTTGGTGTAGAGGGCTTCTACATCCATAGTGGCCAGGATGGTGTTTTCAGGAAGATCACCAATGGATTTTAGTTTCCTCAGGAAGTCAGTGGTGTCTCGAAGATAGCTGGGAGTGTTGGTAGCATATTATAACGCCCTGCATCCCACTGTACTGCATTTTTTAGTATTATATATGAACATTTATTCTAGATAAGGTACATGCTGCTTCCTTGAATCTTACGTAAATTGGATATGATTTTCACCCAGATCGACTGCCCCCACCGCTTCTATGAGCGGACTTTGATTGTGGATCTCTCCCTTAGGGCAACTGCTCTATGCAGAAGGAATTTTGTGGGACTTGAAACTAGGGATGAGAGAAATGATAAAGTGAGAAGAGATGGAGTACATCTGTGGTACTGGATATTGCTCCTACCAGGGATTTCCATGCAGAAGTCCAACCTCGAGTTAATGATGCATCAAGTAATATGATCTCTTGGAGAGATCCCTCTACAGCTACTACAGAGTAACCACAGGGAGCCTCAACAATGACAATGTGGCTCCATCTCAAAAACAGCCAGTGGCACCCCATGGACAGTGTCCACTGAAGAAAAACCCTGCCAATGTGGATTCTCTTCATATTACTTCCCAGACCCACCCAACCTGAGAAGTATTAGAGGGTTAGCCGTGTTAGTCTGGATCTGTAAAAGCAGCAAAGAGTCCTGTGGCACCTCATGGACTAATGGACCAACCTGAGAAGATACTTCCTAGAAACTCCAGGAGGAGGCAGCCTTGCAAAGTTTCTTGGCCTCTTTGGAAAGTTATTTCCCATGGCAACAAGCAACCAGGGCCTCTACTAAGATTTCACTAAAGGCTGCTGTTTTGCAATGAAATCGTCTTTTTTGTGTCACATGGTAAACCATAGTTTGTATGACACAGTCCTTGTTGGGAATAATTGGGCAAGCGTAGTTAACACAAGTATTTCTTGTGAACTGTGGTACCATGATGTAATGTATATGTATGTCAAAAGCTGGAAATCACCCTGTGTTCTTAACAATCAGAAACATTGTGTCCCAGGAGCATGGTCAGTACTGGGTGGTTTATTTCATTTTCCTTTCCCTTATTTTCTCTGTTTGTTAAACCCTTCACCTCCTTTTTCGCTTCATGAATTAAACTAATAATGCGTGGTGGGGAGGAAACAAGACACCTGTTGCTGTTGATAATCATTTGTATTTTGACAGGACAGATTCAAGTTGTTAGGGGCTTATTCTTTCACCCGCTTACTTCCCTGGTCCTTCTCGCATGAACAGAGAGCTACAATACCCAAAGTCCAAAGGTGCAAACAATTCTATGTTTATTGGGGTGAACTGCTAGCAAGCATGATTCCAGTTTCCTTCCTTAGTGTCCCCCTTCCCAGCTCTGACACCACAGAGCCTTATCTGTGTCCCTGTTCCCATTCCGCCCCCATTATCAAAACATGATTCCAATTTCTCCACCCCCATTCCCTGTTCCCATTCCCCCCCTTACTTCCTGATTGACTGTAGACTATATAGTAAAACTTGAGATCTGCTTAGCTATACCTTAACCAATCATTTTACTGAAATTTAACTAACTAATCCTAACATATTGTAACATGATTATTTAACCAATTATATCCCACCACCTGAATTAGTTTACACCCAGCAAAATTAATAATACAGCAGACAGAAACAATCACAGAACCAGACAGAGATTATACAGACAAACAATAGGGAAATGGGGACTACAATGATAGAACAACACAGAAACGACAGGATGCTATCAAACTAAGTTTCCTTTTACATTTTCTAAGCACTTCCCTTTCTCTGGAGATGATAGGAATACAATCCTGTCCTGATAATGCCTAACAGCCCAATAGCACCTTATTTCAATGAGACTAGTTTGGAATGTAAAGATTGTGACCATTCGCTTCCCAGCTTATGGCTGCCTCTGCTGCTTAGTCAAAGGCCTTAGCCTAAGAACAGGGCCTCAGACTGTCACAGTGAGAAAAGACCTTATACAGTCAGACAGGGATTTTGATTCTCTCTTTTATACCTCTATAACTAGCTAAGTGATAAGAATACACCTAAATTCTTAGAGTATAGGCCTTTACAGACAGGCCTGAATATCTATATCCTAACCCTACACTGGCACTTTACAGCGCTGAAACTTGCAGCGCTCGGGGGGGGGGGTGTTTTTTCACACCCCTGAGCAAGAAAGTTGCAGCACAGTAAAGTGCCGGTGTAGACAAGCCCTCAGGCTAGTCAAGAGGCCTTCGCTAACCACAAAGGGGAAGAGTCTCCCCCGCACCTGGGAGCAGCTGGAGAGGAAATGGACATAGGGGTGCTGAAACAATTGGTATAGTGGGGTTGCTGAGAGATCACTGAAGCAAACTATACACCCTGTATATGATCGAAACCACTTCAAGCCAGGGGGTGCGGTAGCAGCCCCAGTTCCATTACCTATGAGTGGACACACTTTACTTCCTCTGATTGATTAATACAGATAAAAGCTGACATCAGGCACCTGGTGACCAGAATTGATGATGAAGGCACCTGTACTAACCACAGCCAGGGCCACGAGAGGGAGGGGACCAGTCTGACTCATACTGTTGCTGATTGGACCCAGGTTTTCTGGGACTGATACATGTACCTATCAAGAATAGGCCTGCTGAGGATGGTGCTGATCTGTGCTAAGAAGGCCTGGCCCAAATCTTCTAAGGCTAATGTTTGAAGGCCCCTGCTCAGGCATTCTTGACTTCTCTTTTAATATTGTTGTCATCCACGCTGTATAATTTTGCCAACAAATCAATGACCTGGACAGGATGTAATGATGAATATCTAAACAGAAGATCAAATAGGATGAAGAACCAGAAAGAGAAAGCAACAGCTCATCAGTTCTGAATTTCT